AGAGCCTGATGTAGGGCTTGAACCCATGAACCCTGAGATCATGACCTAAGCCCAAGTCAGATGCTTAACCGACTGAGTCACCCAGGCACTTCCTTTTCAGAAAAGAAGGAGTTATAAGAAGTCAATAACTTGGAGCGCCTGGGTGGCTCTGTGGGTTAAGCGTCCGACTTCGGCTCAGGTCATGATCTCACAGTTCGTGAGTTCAAACCCGCGTTGGGCTCTGTGCTGACAGCTCAGAGCCTGGAGCCTGTTTCAGAGTCTGTGTCTCCCTCTCTCTCTGCCCCTCCCCTGTTCACGCTCTGTCTCTCTCTGTCTCAAAAATAAATAAACATTAAAAAAAATTAAAAAAAAAAAAAAAGAAGTCAATAACTCAACATGTACATTTGTGGGTTTTCTAGAATATTTTGTTTTTAAGTAATCTCTACACCCAGTGTGGGGCTCAAACTCACAACCCTGAGATCAAGATTCACACACTCTACCATCTCAGCCAGCCAGGCGCCCCACAACATGTACATCTGGATTTGAAGTAGTCTTCTTTTGGGCTAGAAGCTTCTCCCATGATGAAATACAAGGAACATTTTTCTTTCACAAGGCCCAGGCTGGTTTCTTTTGACCATTCTGTTTGGCCCATAGGTGTTTCACAAGGCAGTGTGACTAGGCAGGTGCTAGGAGGGCCACAATACAAACAGCTAAACACCTGTAGTCTATAGAACTGCTTTGTGAACTTGGTTCCCAGTCTGGCTTCTAGCTTTCCAACACAATAGAATAGCTCTTTCAAATGTAGATGTACATTAGCATAATTAAGCAAGATAAATATAATGGAGAAATAAAAGCATTTATAGTCTCAGTCCTTTTTCTGGGAAGTAATACCAGTATCACATTCAAACGGCTAAATACTACTGTCTTCACAAAGACACCTGGATGCTACCTGATTTAACCCGTGCATTCTGAGGTCTCAGAAATTCGGCACAGGGCCATATTGGCAAGGATGAATAACCCTGTCTGCACATGTATGTTTAGATTCTTCTGGGAAGAGAAATTGAGAAAAGAATAGTCTCTTAGTCTGGGGATTCAAAACCTTTGTTCTTAATTTAGAGAAAAATCTACTTTTTTTGTCTGGAAACAACTACAGACCTCAAAATAATGTTTTAATTCTTTTTTTCCAGAATGTAACCACTTTTATTATTTTTTATACCCAATTAAAATGGCAAATGCCATCATGACACCATTAATCCTAAACCATGAAAATATATTTAAATTCATTATTATATTTAAAATGTTTTTGTTCACTTTTAATTTTGAAATAATTATAGATTCATAGGAAGTTCCAAGGACAGTACAGAGAAATTCTGCGTACCTTTCACCTAGTTTGGCAGAATACTCCCGTAACACCATTCGAGTCTAGAGATTTATTTTTGGGGAGTTTTAAAATTATTAACTACATTTCCTTAACAGTTGTTGGGGTATTCAGGTTATTTATTTTATATTGAGTGAGTTGTGGAATTTGTACTTTTTGAGAAATTGGTCCATCTCATCTAAATTGTCAAAAATGCGCACATAGAGTTCACAGAACTTCCGTATGCCTGCGGAGTCTGTGATGATATTAGCACTTTGTGTCTTTTCCTTTAGCGGTCTCGTTAGAGGCCTGTCATCTTATTGATCATTCCAAGGAACCACCTTTCTGTTTCACTGCTCTTCTCTATTGTTTGCCTTGCACTACACTGATTTCTGATCCTATCTGCACTATTTCCTCCGGCCTGTTTGCTTTCAGGCTGTTCTGCTCCTCTACTTCCGGCTTTTTTGAGGTAGGAGCTGGGATTCGTGATCTCTGACTTTCTAATGTAAGCACTTAGTGCCAGTAAGTTCCCTCTCATGTAGAATGGTGGTTGCCAGGGCTGAAAGTGGGGGAAATGGGGAGAAGTTGGTCAAAGGGTATAAACTTCCAGTTAAAAGATGAATAAGTTCTGGGGATCTAATGCGTTGTATGGTGATTATAGTTAATAAAACAATTTTATATACTTGAAAATTTTGCTAAGAGAGGAGATCTAAATGTTCTCACCACAAAAAAGAAATGGTAGTAACGTGACGGTGACAGAGGTATTCGCTAAAGCTATGGTGGTAATCATTTTGCAATATATGAGTGTATCGAATCATATTACACACCTTAAACTTACACAATGTATATGCCAATTATATCGCAATAAAGCTGGGGGAAAAACCTTCCTCTCAGGACCCTCTTAGCTGCACACCACAAACTTTGATACGCTATATTTGTACTTTCATTCAGGCCAGTATATTTTAAATTTTTCCTTGGGACTTCCTCTTTGACTCAGGTTATTCAGCAGAATAATGTTTTTAAATGCATAAAAAAAAATACATGGGATTATAAAGGAAAACAATCATTATTAAAACATAGTTATCAAAATTGTACAAAACTGCGATATAGTAATATGTGTGCTTTTTATTTTTTTATTTTTTTTCATTTTCTTAATGTTTACTTATTTTTTTTTTTTTTTAATTTTTTTTTTTCAAAGTTTATTTATTTCTGGGACAGAGAGAGACAGAGCATGAACGGGGGAGGGGCAGAGAGAGAGGGAGACACAGAATCGGAAACAGGCTCCAGGCTCTGAGCCATCAGCCCAGAGCCTGACGCGGGGCTCGAACTCACGGACCGCGAGATCGTGACCTGGTTGAAGTCGGACGCTTAACCGACTGCGCCACCCAGGCGCCCCTATGTTTACTTATTTTTGAGAGAGACAGAGACAGAATGCGAGTGGGTCGGGACAGACAGAGAGGGAGACACAGAATCTGAAACAGGCTCCAGGTTCTGAGCTGTCAGCACAGAGCCTGATGTGGGGCTCGAACTCACGAGCTGCAAGATTGTGACCTGAGCTGAAGTCGGACGCTCAACCGACTGAGCCACCCAGGCGCCCCAATATGTGTGCTTTTTAAACCAACACATTAAATAACAAGAAATGGTGATGTATCCATCTCATCTAAATTGTCATGTAACACTGACTGGTTCTGAAAGAGTGATGAGCATATGACAATTCAAGACCTCTGCAACCACGATTCCTCTTGGTGACAAAGTTATAGGTGTTCCTAAAACTACGGTGATTGTTGCCTATATTCATAATTAAAGAAAATGAGTTTTTAGTTGGAAGCTAGTAAAAACAGTAATATAATATTTTGGTTCAATGGATGGACCTCTTGATTTCTATCCACAAACACTTTTGTGTTAAAAATTCCCAATTCAGAGGTTTTCACTCTGGTAACCTGTTGATGTTTTTCTCCTCCACCTCTACTCCACTTCTCCTCCACCTTAGTTTAGCACTTCTCCTGAGACCTAACCAATGAACCTAACCAATGAACAATGGAAAACATCCCAGTTGGGAGACAGCCAATTCTTCACTTCCAACAAACACCCGTCACTCTAAACAAATACATTAGCGTTACATGAGTTTACCTGGATCCTGCTGTTTCCCCAATCTGCTACAATGATGTTTCCATTTGAATCCACTGCTACACCTGTTGGAGCATTAAACTGCCCATTTCCTTCTCCATTTGAGCCAAACTTCAACATGAATTCTCCCTCCTGATTAAACACCTGTATGAGATATTTTTAAATGATTTTATTTTAAACCAAAAATAGTTGAGCCAACATTACGGGTTTTAAAAAAATATGTATCTCAGCAGATTTTTTATTATGAGTTAAGACATTCTAAAAAAAAAAACAAAAAAAATCTACAAAGTAGACCCCTATATTACTTATGGTTCCCCAATTTACTATATAAATTTGATTTATCATTTGTTAAATCAGTTCTTATTTCTAGCTCCTATCTGGTTATTGAATACCTATATGAAAAATACTTTTGTTATAAATTATAAAATATATAGGAATATAAGGCAGGATAAGAAAGTGGAGCTATAATTTTCAACAGTATTATTATTCCTGCCTTTGAATAAATAGCTAAATTTCAAGAACAGAAATATTACTATTTCTAACAGGAGGGATGATCAAAGTTGGATCAGGACCATGGAGCTTTTTGTTAGGCTGGGTGCTCAGAATTTATTACCATTTTACAAAGTCAACATGAGAAAGAGCAAGTTGGACTTCACACTTATAAGGGAATATAAGGGAAAAGTGTGTGTGTGTGTGTGTGTGTGTGTGTGGCACAGGTGAGGAACAACAGAAGGGCTTTTTAATATATTTTTTTCAGAATATATATTTAGTTAAAATAGATAGGTTATATGACTCTAAGGCTTTGATGGATGCAGCATACTGAGGGGAGAGGGCTGAGAGAAGTTGGGGAGGTACACAGAATTCTTCAGCAAATTCTCTAATATATGATCTAGACAAGCAATAGCTTGTTGTGGTTAATTAAATATTCTTATTAATGGAGTGTTAAAGTACATGTATCAAATACAGATTACTGATTTGGAGAGAAATAAATTGTTATTACGTGGTTATTTGTAAGCTACAGTAAGCATAATTTTATCTTGATTCAGATGGTATTTAATGGCTGTGAAGTATCTCCAGGATATTATTTTAAGCTTCCATTATGATGCAGCCAACATATGTTGAAGGACCCATTAACAAATCAAAACGTATTACATGCAAAGCCATGAGAGTAAGGGTTCCTGAAACGTGGAACAGAGGGAGTTCACCATATCCGAGTGCAGACCTAATTTGAGAATGATCTCAGGGCCTTTTACAGATTCTCCTCCTGCCATCTCTGTGATCATGAAAGATTAAAATGACTCTCTTTCTTTTAGTTATGTACATTGGAGAAGCAAAGGGAGACAAACCATCTCTAAAGGCTAAACTCCCTTTAAGATAAAGAAAAAGAATCATGACTGTTTCTTGAATTAATTACATAACTTGCCAGCTAAGCAAGCTACCTCTTTGGTTCTGTGGAAAGGACGAGACAAGAACTAGCTTTGGCTAAGATTATTTTTTAAAAATCTTTCCTGACTCCTTTTATCTCCTTTCACACAGAACGTTCTTGTTTTAAAGGCCAATGAAACTGTTTGTATGCTGGTGAGGACACAATTTCTTACTCTCTGATCTTTTCCCTTAATAAGTCCTACCAATAATCTTTTTGTTTGTTTGTATTTATTTCTCTGAAGAGGTGTGTTTTCCTTGGCCTACTGCAAAAAACACAAATGCTTCTGCCCCATTTTGTAATGATGCAGAATGCCAAATTTAGTTGTTTTGCAATGAAAACAAAATACACACTGAAAATGGCTAAAGAACTTAGACCATTTGTTAGCCCCGACCTATAGGCACAGTTTTTACATTTACCAATAGAGAAATGAATTGAATCCAGAACCACTGCTAACTGCCACGTGTCACAGGGGAAACAAAAGCCCAACTATTCCATAAAAGCTATATGGCAACAGCTGCCAAACAGAAGAGAAAAAACACTGGTTTTCTTAAATAAGAGGGAAACTGAGTTCAAATTAGTAAAATAATCTACCTCCGCTATACTGAAAACTTGAAGAGTTTTCAGAATCTTAATAATTACAAATTTCTTGTAGCTTCTATTTTTCCCACCTAAAATGTCATTTAATTGCTTATAAATTATTCAGATGAAAACATATTAAGAGGCGGATGCATGAGCTGAAATAGTTTTTACAGCTTTGCTTCTCATCCAAGTTTTTATAGCAAGTTTTTATCACTTGGATGATAATCCTTTCCTGATTTCAAAATTCTGCTCACCTCAAATACCACCTCCACTTGGAAGTCTTCCCTGATGGTCTTAGTTACAGAAATCTGCTCTTTGTTTTCTTCTGGATACTTATAGAACTTTATATGTACCTATATTAAAATAATAATTTATTGCTATCTGCCTTGCATTTTGATTACTTACATATGTCCTATTTCCTTCTACATTGTCAGCCAGGGCTGGTAACTAGGAGTCCTCCCACATACCAATGTCAGTTGATTCATAGAGGCTGCCTGGAGCATTGGGACGGAAAGGCTCTGAGGCCACAGTTGCGCTTAGTAGAAAAGAGCAACTTGATTAATAGGACTGTCTTCCGGTGGGGGTGGGCAGCATCTATACCAGGCGTTTGCTGGCCTTTGCTGATCCATATGAGTTATCTTCTGGTTAAATGCCCTGTAGTTAAATGATTCCCCTATTAAGTGAGTGAAGGATAGGAAGTCTGAGGACAGCCTATGTTATCGTTAAGCTCATCACACAGGACTGTTACAGCACCCCCGGCTGGGGGGGGGGGGGCAGTCCAGAGCCCAGTCCCTTCTGCCTCTGCTGTTTCCCTCCTCCCCAGCACTACTCTTCCCAACGTCCTCTTCCGTTTACCAAGACACCTCCTGTAGAGAGAGAGGATTTGCAGCTTACAGACACTGAGGGAGGTAGGGGAGTGGGGAATGAGCTCCCCCACTATGGCAGCAACTCCAGAGACACAACGTGGCAGGAAGCAGCCTGAGAAGCAAGCAATGGTGGGCATCCTTTCCCCTCTTCCTGCCCTATCAGGGGCAGGCCCACTGTGCCCTACACTTTGCATCCACCAAAAAAAGCTCAAAACCATTCCATTTACTTGGGTTAAATGTATCTTTTGGGACAACCTGGGGGAAATGAAGTGGTGATGGGCTCAGGAGAGAGAGTGCCTTTGGGTGTTGAAATCCTATCCCTACATAGCTATTCCAGTCACCAACACTGACAACTTTGGTTGCCCGATGGTTGTCTCTAAGTGCAAACTTTAGTCACTGGCATACGCCACTTATGCTGTTTCCTTCTTACCCTTCCTTTAAAAAGGCCTCACCTTAAAAAATTTTAACGAATTTACTTACAAGGAAAACATTGTATCATTTCTGTAAGTGCAAACCAGTACCACTTGATGTAAACAGAGGGTAACCCTAAAAATAAACACATGACTCTTAAAATGAAAATGTCTGGGGCGCCTGGGTGGCTAAATCGGTTAAGCGGCCGACTTCGGCTCAGGTCATGATCTCGCGGTCCGTGAGTTCGAGCCCCGCGTCGGGCTCTGTGCTGACAGCTCGGAGCCTGGAGCCTGTTTCAGATTCTGTGTCTCCCTCTCTCTGACCCTCCCCTGTTCATGCTCTGTCTCTCCCTGTCTCAAAAATAAATAAAGTTAAAAAAAAAAAAAAAGTCTGCCAGTGCACTGCCCAGGGCCACCTGGCGTGCCTTCAGTGGAACATGCACCCCACCTTAGGAACCGCGGTCTAGAATGTAATTAAACATTTTCTCGTTTCAGTAAGTCACAAATTTGTTTTCATTTCTGGATGTCCTGATTTGCTCATAATAAATCTCAAATCTTTCTTCCCCCTACACCTAGTAAGAAAGATGTACTACACTGCTCGGCGGAGGGGAAGGGGCACTGTATTCTGGGGAACACCAAGTGTGCGAAAGCATTCTCTAAAGTATGAGACATCTATAGGAATGTATACTAGGGCTATTTCCCTCACAAAATCTGCACAGATTTTAGATATTAGCGGAGTTCGGATATCTAATTTTGTTTGAAAGGCCTTATGATGCAGATAATTGAAAAAGTGATCTTGTTTTAATGTATTGAATAGAGGCAAAATATTAAGTTTTGGAAAGTTCTGCCTCTCTAAGTTCAAGCAACTGCTTTTTCAAATTTAATTTTTAAGTCATCTCCATTTATAGCTATTTCAAATTAAAAAACTTGTCGCCACCACATTTTGTTTGATTTTCTGACTCTCCCAACTCTGTGGGTCCAAACTAAAACCTGCATCTTTAGGGAGAAGCAAAGTGTACTCTTTCAGGTTCATTCCTTTAGTTCCTGTGCATATATGGGAGTATTACATTATTTTCTCTCAGTCTGATTTCTCAATAACAGCAGTTAAAAGTGAACAATAAATGGTGTGTTTATAGTACCTTGACAGAATGATTATGGAAATCTGTAACAATAATCTCATTATTGCTATTTACAGCTGCAAAATGGGGACCTGCAATAAAGATGAAAAACATATGTGACTACTGTTAACAATAAAAATGATTACAACAACGTAGCAGTTACAAAATTCAACATATTAGTTATTTAAGAAAGAACAAAGAATTATAGACTCGGTTCTTGAAAGATCATTCGGCTAGAACTCTGGCTCTAGATGGCCTAGGTCCTCTATCATTCTACACCCGGGACTGTCTACTCTGGCTTCTTTTACATCAAGCTAAGAGTGCCAGCAGCCTTAACGAAGCGGAACGAGCAATAAGCATCAGAATTCATTCTCTGCAGCACCATCTGAAAGTCACATCTGCCAGCTTCTCTGAGTACATGTTAGTCCCTTTAGGGAGGATGTGGGGAGTCTTAGTACTGGGAAAAAAGACGCCCATATGTAATATTTTTTTAAAAAGTAGAGCAGAAACCCATATTTTGTAATTTGGGGTGACATTCAGAACCTGGCAGAACTGGAGACAAAGCACAAAAATGATTATGCAAATTATTGTCAAATGCCGAAAGCATCCTTTTAAAAAGAAAATTTAATGTACCGTTTTCAGCCTCTTCTTGCAGATGTTAAAAACTAAGTCAGCCTGTGCTTGCAAAGTGGTACACCAGAAAGAGAAGTAACAGAACTGCCCTTCCTGTACTCAGCAAATTTTCTAAAGTCCTGCTCTCTTACCATCATCTAGAAAGGTGAAAAAAATTCTCATTCCGAAGCTCTTTCTAATACAAAGCTACAGCTAGGTAGAAATTGGAGTTACTCCACTGTTCCTCAAACATTTTTATTTTAAATTTTATGTTTTACTTAATATTCAAAGATTTGACTTCTGAGCTGTAAACTGCTGTCAATAAAAACCACACACGGACCGCAGTTCAACTTACTGCTGGCGGAGTAATTGAGAAGCATCTCATCATGCTTTTGCTTAGATTTTATCCCCAGTATCTTTCCTAAAGCCGGAAAACACACTGGGGATTAAGGCATCTTCCACATGCTCCAACATCATGCAAATGTGAGCAGAAGAAGCGTAAAAAAGGGGGTTTACATATTACCATCGAGTGTACCTGCAAACTGCCTGTCCCCATTTCCTCGGCTACCAAACCTGGTGACTATTTTCCCATTTGGCTGGAAAATAAACACGCAGCACGCCTTGTTGTCCACCACAATGATGTGCCCGTTGCGGTCCACAGAGACTCCTTTGGGCCCCATCAACTTTCCTGATCCGATTTTTGTCTGTTAGAAACAAGTACAGAAAATGAAGTTTAAAACACTACAGAACATGAAGACAGACACCTGTTTTAGTAAACACTTACTTGAACCTTCAAATGGGGGTGCACAGCTACTCATATGTCACAATGATGTCCTGTTTTTGTCACATCCATTATCTGCTACTAAGATTTATGTGAAATCCTTACTTTTTAAGAGGATCACCACCAAGAATGTTCTAGAATCCCCTTAACTGGGGTCACAGTTCCCTTGTAAAGATGCAGTGTGGTGTGGCAAAAGATCACTGGGTCAGGAGTAGGAAGGCTGTTCTATGCCTGTCGCTTGTTTTAGACACATCTGGTATAGCACAAATGGATTTGATTTCCTTACGCTTCAGATTCCTTATATATTTAAAAATGTAAAAAAAAAACAAAAACAAAAAAAAACCTTTAGTAACTTCCAAAGGCATTTTTGGGATAGGTACTAAGTAAAACAATGTAGATAAAGGGCTTAGTGTAGAGTATAGCACATATTAAGTAGTCATTAAAGGGAAGCCATCATCATCGTTATTGTAGATCATAATATCAAAACTGCCAAGAATCTGCCATTGAACTTTACCAGTGTTAAGTTCCATGGAGGCAGGAGTTATGTCTGTTTTGTCTACTACTGTGTACCCAGACCCAGCATACTTCTTGGTGCCTAACCAGGTAGTCAACAAGTATTAGCCGAATACATTAATTTTAAAAGTCTAGCATTATTTCGGGTAACCCTGATGATTGAATGGTTCCAGATTTCAGTATTTTAAAATGGGAGAAAAGCATTAGATTTCTATCAAGCACATACCATATGCATTTGAAGTCTTACTCATTTTTCCGAGTAGACTATATAAATGCCTGTTTGCTAGGAGATGCTTATCTTATATCCTTCCATTTATAGCTCCATTATAAAGTACTTTACTCATTCACCCATTTATTTACTAATTCTGCAAACATTTGGTGGGTGATAGAGCACCCACTGTGTGGCTAATGACTCCAGGCACTGAGTAGACACAGACAAGTAAGACCAGCCCCTCTCCTGGAGGATGTCTCAGTCATACTGCAGAGACAAACACGTTCACTGGGTCCTGTTTAATGTGCCTGGTATTGAGTGTTTGGTAAATCTGAGAGAATTCAAATAGGCTATCCTAGAAGCCATAGAGAACAAAAACTTAATGCAACAGGTCACTATAAACAAGGAAGGAGGAGCACCCAACGTGAGGAAGCAGCCAGAAAGAGTGCCTGGTGAGGGGGATGCACGAACCACAGAGGCTTAGAGAGTCAAGTAGATCTCTATGTGTCTTTATAAATGTTTTCTCAGATATATTAAACAAAGCGAGGTACTGAACAGTGAGTATAGTCTGAGCCCACCTGAATGAAATGTGTTTATATATGTATACATACATATTCCTGGAAGAGACCAGTAAGAAACCATTGATATTAGTGGTGGTAGGAGAAACTCTTACTTTTCATTTTATACTCATCTGTAGGGTTATTTTAAATACTTTTTTAAAGGTTTGTTTGTTGCGAGAGAGAGAGAGAGAGAGAGAGTGTGTGTGTGTGTGTGTGTGTGCGCGTGCGCGCGCGCGCGCGCAAGTGTTGGGGGTGGGGGGTGGAGAGAATCCCAAGCAGGCTCTGCACTGTCAGTGAGAGACCAATGCGGAGCTTGAACTCACGAACTGCGAGATTATTACCTGAGCTGAAGTCAGATGCTTAACCAACTAAGCCACCCAGGTGCCCTTAGCATCAAATACCTATTTGCATGTATTACTTTTTAAATTAAAAATTTTAATTCCAAAATAATTTCATTACCCTAGGTTCTGTTTTAGTCCCCTTATTTTCTCTCTATATATTAGTGCTGCCTGATAGAAATATAACATGAGCCATGTATGTAATTAAGATTTTTCTTAATTACAACATCAAAAAAAAAAACAAAAAGAAAAAAGGAAAATTATTTAAATCATATATTATATTTGACCTAACATATCTAAAAGTTATCATTTCAACATATAATCAATATTAAAATTACTGATGAAATATTTTACATTTTTTTTTACTAAGCCTTTGAAATCCAGTGTGTTTTTCACATGCATAGCACATCTCAATTTAGACTCATCCCATTTCAAGACCTCAGTATCCCTGTCCTAGTGGCTATCAAATTGGATAGAGCAATTCTATATACTTCTTCTAAGATCTCATTTTGTTATGGCATCAACTTTCACCTCTGTACATAAAAGTCTCAAATCCATATCTTTAGTCCCGGCCTATTTTACAAGTTATCATCTTAAACTCAACCAGTATTAAACCAAATTTACCTCTTCATTTCCACCATTTAAAAAAAAGGAAACCCAAATTAACACCTCCCGATTTCCTAGTTCCTTATTTTATTTATTTCTTTTGGGAGAGAGCACACACAGGCGAGTGGGGGGAGGGAACCCAAGCAGGTTCCAGGCTGTCAGTGCAGAACCCAATGCAGGACTTGAACCCATGAACTGTGAGATCGTGACCTGAGTCAAAATCAAGAATCGGATGCTTAACCAATGGAGACACCTAGGTGCCCCTCCTTGTTCCTTTTCCTCCTAGATACCACAGTTCATTCAAACCCAGGATCCAAATTTCAGAGCAAAATTCACTCTTCCCTTTCCAAGTTTGAACCTCAGTTTTCTTGTCTGTAAAATAAATGGCAGCTACTGTATTTACCTCCTGGGTCATGTGGATTCTGAAGGATAGAGTGCCAAGCACAGCATATGGCATCCATTCTCCTTCTCTCCATTCTTCAGTTGGTTTCATACCTGACCCTCAGAATTATCTTCCTTCCTAACAGACATGCAGGTATGTGCAGAGAGTATGGAGAGAGGCAATAGGGACTGTTCATAGTGGGGGTTCAGACCCTGTGTGATCTTTTATTCTTGTAAGCTTATAAACGAGATTCACATTTGATCTCTTTGATACAAAGAGACACATTCACTTAGGAAGGAAGCAATGATATTCTTGCAAGGGAATTTGTTGTAATAAATGTGATTCTCATTTTGCAATCTAGCTCAGAGATCAGAGGCTATACCATAATGGCTTTTATTAACGAAACTGTATACTTTCTTTCATGTTGTAATGGAAGATATGTCAGTAGAGATCAAAAGGAAGAGAGAACACTCTGATATTTACAGCAAGAATATTATTACTAGCTGACATTATTAACACTAGTTGTTACTTAGAATGACTCAGCCATATAATACCAAGCAGATGATAATTATGTAGAATAAAAACAGAAAATAAAGGATTATGGCCATGTAGTAAGAGCTAGGTCTTAAAACAAAAACCTTAAATGTTGAGTCAAAACCTCTTTTCCTTTTCCTTTCCCTTTATCACTCCCAGTTTAGCTGCACAAGATTCTACCATGTGAAATAAGAGTTACTGAATTTGGCCTGACAATGTGTCCCCTGTCTTAAATAGGATAGTAAACAGAGATATTTTAGACCCCAGCTTTGGAACAGTTAAATAAAGTATTTAACTCAACAAGAAGGTCGATAAGTTGAGGAAGGGATGATTTTAGAACATGGTGGCCAGAGGCCTCTGTATCTGTTCTGGGGTCACAAAAGGTTCCTAGATGGGCTGGAAGATATAAATCAGCAGAAAAGATGGAGAGGAAAAAATTAGACGCAGAGAAGAATGAAAATTAGGGCTAAGAATTTGGTGAGTGAGAGAAAGAAAATGGGATAAGCTATTGTATCTCTAGAACTCTTAGGAACAAATACAAAGAATCCACTTTTGTGTCAAAGATTGGTCTTTCTGAGCACCTGTTTAAGTTTACTGAATCCCACTGAAAAAGAAAAGAAGTATCTCTGAGTAAATGGTCATGTGTATGGTCAGTTGGATGAGCTCCCATTACACTACTAAACCATTTTCACTTGCTATCCCTTTATCCCCTGATCAATGCCCATTGAAAAAAAAAAAAAAGGGTAAGGTGAAACTATACCATATCCATTCCCCCAATCCTCAGAGAGCATGAGTGTCCTTGTTTATTCCAATTACTACCAATAGTATTCCAACTATGAGAATCCAATCTTCCAGGAAGAGTGTCTATTACATATAAAATATTGAACCATTGAATAAAAAATGCATAATTCAGGAAGCCCTTCTCTCTTAGATGTAAAACTCCTGTTTCAACCTATTTCACTATGTTAGATATAAAACGTTTCAGTATATTAGATTTAAAACTCTTGCTTCAATACTTATTTTAGCATTCATTTATGCATTTAGAGAGACAAGTCATGATTTTGCTAGAGTACGTAACAAGAAGAAATGGGTTGTCTCCAAACTAGATGGATATTTTCAAAAGGTCACTGAACAGCCTTCCTTCTATTCATGTTAAAGTTGTTATATTTGGGTATGTCTTACTACAAACGCAATTATGAAAATACAAAAGAAGATGAGGGAGTTAGAGATACACAAAGGCAAGAGGCCTTTCTGTGTATGTGGCTATCATACAGAGTCATCAAATTTCTAGGGGAACAAAAAAACGTCAAAGACAATCGAACAATTGTGTATACTATGGTAGAATTAAAAACTGTGGCTTTTTATTCTCCTAGATTGAAAAGATCCTGCCCCACACAAAACAAAAGCTCCAATCTGAGGGTTAATAATTATGAAAATAATGTGTTTTAATAAAAATGATGAGGTGACTCTAGGGATCCAATAACTTTAAAAAGAAAAATATAAATTCCTCCAATAAGACACAAACGAGTGAACTTTGCGTAATCTTCAGGATTCCAAAATAGATTATGAAGAGCATCATTTCTGAACATTTAGACAAGGAAGTGATGACCAGGTGCTGGCATGAGGTCATGAAGTCCAAATCACAGCTGATCAAATAGACTTCATTTTTTGGACAGGGTTACTGGAAGCAATGGAAAAGAACATTTTTTAGATGCCTATTTCATATGAGCCACGTATAAAATCCAGAAATAAATCTCATTTAATCCTTACCCAAATCCTACAAAATAGATTTTTTTTTAATCCAAATGGGACATACGAGACTATCGAAACTCAAGGAAAGTTGTATCATTAGTTAAAAGCTGCAGAGTTGGCATTCCGAAGGGCTGGTCTGGTCTGAATAAAAGTTCACGTTGTCACCTGAAAGAGAAGCCTCCAGCAGGCTGGACAGGGCAATGCAGAAGGCACAGTGCATATGGCCTTCAAAAAACACCTTTGACAAAGGACCTCCTAATCTTGTGAACAAATGCAGAAAATGGGCTGCATGATAATACTCTTCGATAACACTTCAGAAGAGATTTCTGCTGTCACTAGAGGGCTCTCTACTCTTTCTTGATGCAGAAACAGATGATGCTAGGGACACCAGCAAAACTGTCAAATGATGGCCCCCCCGCCGTCCCCCTCCCCCTCCAGTGCAGCTCGACTCACCTTTCCTCTGTGCAGCTGCCATTTTCTTGTCCTTCAGATTCCTGTGTTATACACTTTAACACTAGGTTCTCAGATTGTACCTAACAATGCATGACTGATTCGAGGCTGACACAAATTGTTTTATATCCTTTCTGGTGTCTTTTTTTTTTTCCTCAAGGGGCTTGCAGGTTTTTTCAAAGGTAGAAACCATGTTTTATAATTCCGTTTCTCCCGTATCATCTATCAAAGGCCTGAGAAAGTAGAAGGCACTTCATACCTGACCATCTGTAGGTTAATCTAGGAAATTTCAATTGCCTCTTCAGTACCTTTTCCTCTCAGTTGTTCTTCATTGAATTTAGGTAAATCTGATGATATGTAAAAAAAGCCACTGAACCTAGCTGCTTTACAAAATGAAGCCACTGTTTCAGATATATAAAATTTATGATAACATCATTGTTATGCTCCATAAAACTTAGATGCAACAAAGTCAGCGTGTCTTTTGTGTATGAAAACTTGTTGAACTTCATCTTGTATTTCCTATCCCTTCTCTCTACTGCTTAGAAGCCAACTGCTAGTTTAATCTTACCTTAAACTTGCCATCAGAAGAGAAAATGCTAACCCACTTATTATCATAGTCTGCAATGATTATGTCCCCACTGGGATGCACGGCTACTCCTGTGGGCCGCTGCAGCTGCCCGGGAGAGCGTCCTCGTATGCCAAACCGACTTTTGAACTGGCCATCATTGGAAAATATCTGCAAAACAAATGACATCCCTTGGAATGTGCACTAGCACAGGAATTAGTGAGGAAAAAGGAGTCAAGAACATTTGTCATATGTACTAGAGGTCAGACCATGCAAACTCTAGCTGAAGAAAAGTCTACTAAAAGTTACCCTTTCTTTCCTCGTACTGTGGATCTTAAACTCTTACATAGGAAAGTATGCAATTATGTTTTATTGTGTAAACAAAGGTACATAATTAGGGGCCATACCTGTACACATTGGTTGTTGCTGTCTGCAATTAATATCTTTCCACTTGTAGACGCAGCTACCCCTTGAAGATTTGTAAATTCTCCTTTATTTCTCCCTTTGGTACCTAGAAACAAAGTATAAAAGCACAGAAATGAAGCAAAAGAGAATTGTTAATTTTAATGTTTTTTAATGTTTATTTGTTTTTAGTGAGAGAGAGAGAGAGAGAGTGAGCATGTGTGCATGAGTGGGGGAGGGGCAGGGGAGAAGGAGAGAAAGAGAATCCCAAGCAGGCTCCACGCTGTCAGTACAAAGCGCAACTCAGAGCTTGACCCCGTGAACCGAACAGGGAGATCATGACCTGAACTGAAATCAAGAGTTCAATGCTTAAATGACTGAATGACCCAGGCACCCCAGCAAGAGAAAATTAGATCTCTCAGTTTCTTCAAGAGAATTAGTCAGGTTTCCATAGGTAAACTGAGAATGTATTTTTTTTTTAATTATACTTTAAAAACAGGGGCGCCTGGGTGGCGCAGTCGGTTAAGCGTCCGACTTCAGCCAGGTCACGATCTCGCGGTCCGTGAGTTCGAGCCCTGCGTCAGGCTCTGGGCTGATGGCTCAGAGCCTGGAGCCTGTTTCCGATTCGGTGTCTCCCTCTCTCTCTGCCCCTCCCCCGTTCATGCTCTGTCTCTCTCTGTCCCAAAAATAAATAAACGTTGAAAAAAAAAATTTTAAAAACAAAAACCTCCCCCACCATTACCTAATCCATATGCTCCTTAACTTCTCTTCCAGACCAATAAAGTCTTTGCAAAATCACTTTTTTAGGCAAATAAGCAATCTTAAGTCATAACTGCATATTACTTTAATATTGCATTAATAACCATATTAAAATATATTAGATTTCACAAAGAAACAATAATAAAAACTAATACTACAATCAAGGATATGCAACAAGAGAGGGCCTTATTTTAGAGTTTTGCCAAAATCCCACCCTCTCACTCAGCAGTTCTTAGAAGAATCCCAACTTGAAGAAACTTCTAAGAAGAAGCTTTCAGTACATTTAACAAACCACGAAGTCTCAGATGTTATAAAACTATCAGGCTGATTTCTTTTTTTAAGTTTATTTATTTCTGAGAGAGAAAGCACAGGGGAAGGGCAGAGACAGAATCCCAAGCAGGCTCTGCGCTGTCAGTGCAAGCCCAATGCAGGGCTCTAACTCACAAACCATGACATCATGACCTGAGCTAAAATCAAGGTGCTTAACCGATGAGCCACCTGGGTGTCCCAGGCTGATTTCCATGTACTGATTTACTCATGCAGTATTTTCAAAGACTCGGTACCTCATATGTAGTATATTCTTCCTGAAAACATACAAGATATCCTGACAGAGCACTTTCTGGATTAAATAAATACAAAAAGCAAAGGAAAGTTAATCAATCCAATAATATTTTCATCTATACCAGACTTTTTAATGAGAGGTGAGGCAGGAGAAAAAAAAAGCCAAGGTGTCTATGGATTAACAGATTTCTGTTTTTGTTTCAAAACAAATGTTTACAACTTATTTCAACAGGGCCATGTAAATATTAATGAATGGAAATGGACTGAATTGTGCTCAGAAATGACCAGGAAGGACATTTAAGTTTTCATGGAGAGAGAGGAAGCTATGCCTTCAGTTTTTTGGCACTTCTATCATTTCATTTCATCATATCATTTCATTTTTTAAATCAGATTCACAAGAGGAATTTGATATTTTGGTTTTAGACATCAATGCCGTGCCTTAGGCACACTTAGACAATGGCACACTGATAGTGGCTGACGTCAAACACATGCGTAAGCACTGCTTAGAAATAGTTAGACTCGCCAGCATTACCCTGATTCCAAAACTAGACAAAGACCCCACTAAAAAAGAGAACTATAGACCAATTTCCCTGATGAACACGGATGTAAAAATCTTTAACAAAATATTAGCCAACTGGATCCAACAATACATTAAAAAAATCATTCACCATGACCAAGTGGGATTTATACCTGGGATGTGGGGCTGATTCAATATCCGCAAAACAATCAACATGATTCATCACATCAATAAAAGAAAGGACAAGAACCATATGATCTTCTCAATAGATGCAGAGAAAGCATTTGACAAAATACAGCATCCTTTCTTGATAAAAACCCTCAAGAAAGTAGGAATAGAAGGATCATACCTCATGATCATAAAAGCCATATATGAAAAGACCCAACGCTACTATCATCCTCAATGGGGAAAAACTGAGAGCTTTCCCCCTAAGGTCAGGCGCAAGACAGGGATGTCCACTCTCATCACTGTTATTCAACATAGTATTGGAAGTCTTAGCCTCTGCAATCAGACAACACGAAGAAATAAAAGGCATCCAAATCGGCCAGAAGGAGGTCAAACTTTCACTTCTCGCAGATGACATGATACTTTATATGGAAAACCCAATATATTCCACCAAAAAAGTGCTAGAACTGATCAATGAATTCAGCAAAGTTGCAGGATATAAAACCAATGCACAGAAATCGGTTGCATTCTTATACACACCAACAATGAAGGAACAGAAAGAGAAATCAAGGAACCAATCCCATTTACAGTAGCACCAAAAACCATAAAATACCTAGGAATAAATCTAACCAAAGAGGTGAAAAATCTATACACTGAAAACAATAGAAAGCTTATGAAAGAAATTGAAGAAGACACAAAAAAATGGAAAAATATTCCATGCTCCTGGATAGGAAGAACAAATATTGTTAAAATGTCAATATTACCCAAAGCAATCTACATATTCAATGCAATACCTATCAAAGTAACACCAGCATTCTTCACAGAGGTAGAACAAATAATCCTAAAATCTATATGGAACCAGAAAAGACCCTGAATAGCCAAAGCAATCTTAAAAAAGAAAACCAAAGCAGGAGGCATCACAATCCCAGACTTCAAGCCGTATTACAAAGCTGTAATCATCAAGACAGTATGGTACTGGCACAAAAAACAGAAACTCAGATCAATGGAACATAATAGAGAACCCAGAAATGGACCCACAAACATATGGCCAACTAATCTTTGACAAAGCAGGAAAGAATATCCAATGGTATAAAGACAGTCTCCTCAGCAAATGGTGCTGGGAAAACTGGACAGTGACATGCAGAAGAATGAACCTGCACCACTTTCTTACACCATACACAAAAATAAACTCAAAA